CCCTTCGTGGCCCCGCTGTCGCCCTTTGTGGCCCCCTCGCTGCCCTTCGTGGCCCCGGTGCTGCCCTCAGCGGCCCCGTCGCTGCCCTCTGTGGCCCCGCATTATATGCCCTTCGTGGCCCCCGCTCGCACGCGCCTTTGGTGGTCCCATATGCATGCCCTTCGTGGCCCCCTCGGTGCCCTTCGTGGCCCCTTTTCTGCCCTCAGTGGCCCCGCTGTCACCCTTTCTGGCCCCATGTATGTATGCCCTTCGTGGCCCCCGGTCGTTCGCGCCCATCGTGGCCCCATATGCATGCCCTTCGTGGCCCCGCCGTCGCCCTTTGTGGCCCCCTCGCTGCCCTTCGTGGCCCCGTTTCAGCCCTTCGTGGCCCCGTCGCTGCCCATCGTGGCCCCGTTGCAGCCCTTCGTGGCCCCCTCGCTGCCTTTCGTGGCCCCGTTGCAGCCCCTCGCGGCCCCTCCGCCTCGCTGCCCTTTGTGGCGCCGTTGCAGCCCTTCGTGGCCCCCTCGCTGCCCTTCGTGACCCTGTTGCAGCCCTTCGTGGCCCCCTCGCTGCCCTTCGTGGTCCCGTTGCAGCCCTTCGTGGCCCGCTGCTCTTCGTGGCTCCATATACGTATGCCCTTCGTGGCCTCCGCTCGCTCGCGCCCGTCGTGGCCCCATATGCATGCCCTTCGTGGCCCCGCTGTCGCCTTCGTGGCCCCCTCGCTGCCCTTCGCAGCCCCGTTGCTACCCTCAGTGGCCCCGTCGTTGCCTTCTGCGGCCCAATGTACGTATGCCCTTCGTGGCCCTCGCTCGTTCGCGCCCGTCGCGGTCCCATATGCATGCCCTTCGTGGCTCCGCTGTCGCCCTTTGTGCCCCTTTCGCTGCCCGTCGTGGCCCCGTTTCAGCCCTTCGTGGCCCCGTCGTTGCCCTTCGTGGCCCCGCATTATCTGCCCTTCGTGACCCTCGCTCATTGCAGCCCTTCGTGGCCCCATATGGATGCCCTTCGTGGCCCCGCTGTCGCCCTTCGTGGTCCCCTTCCTGCCCTTTGTGGCCCCGCTGTCGCTACCCCCCAAAAGGGGTACCAGCGAAGACGAAGTGGGCGCGGGTGTCGAGGGTTTCGGAAATGCACGTTGACTGACACTCGAGCAGATAAGAGCGAGCAGTCTTAGAATGATTGAAACATCCTCGCAACTCAGGCGTCCGATATGCTCTGAGCTGAGAAAGTCAGGGCGCTCTCTCTTGAGACGTCCTCGCAACTCTGAACTCAGAGGTGCCCTGCCCCCTGGTGGTCCGTCCTCCCTTTCTGTTGGCCCTCCCCCCTTTGATCCCTTCGTTTTCATTATCTCCCTTTCTCATTGCTTCTGCGTTTTCTTATTTGGTGGCCTTTCCAACTACACGTGGCGGGGATGGAATATAACACCCCCAAAGGGGTTCGATCGAAGACGAAGAGGGCGGGTATCCAGGGTTTGGGATATGCATTTTTTATGGCACGCGATCGGATATGAGCGAACCGTTTTAATATGATTGTTGTTCTTGTTGTTGGTGTTTGTGTAGGTGTTGGTGTTGGTGTTGGTGTTGTTGTTGTTGTTGCTGTTGCTGTTGCTGTTGCTGTTGCTGTTGCTGCTGCTGCTGCCGTTGCTGTTGCTGTTGCTGTTGTTGTTGTTGTTGTTGTTGTTGTTGTTGTTGTTGTTGTTGTTGTTGTTGTTGTTGTTGTTGTTGTTGTTGGTTGTCGTCGTCTCACCCGCGACCCACCCGCGACCCACCCCGCGACCCACCCCGCGACCCACTCCGCGACCCACCTGGCGACCTACCCCGCGACCCACCTGCGACCTAACCCGCGACCCACCCGCGACCCACCCGCGACCCACCCGCGACCCACCCGCGACCCACCCGCGACCCACCCCGCGACCCACCCGCGACCCACCCGCGACCCATCCGCGACCCACCGGGGACCCACCCGCGACCCACTTGTGACACACCCGCGACCCACCCCGCGACCCACCCGCGACCCACCCGCGACCCACCCGCGACCCATTTGCGACCCATCAGCGACCCATCCGCGACCTACCCACATGGGTTTAACGAAAAAATCGGCGCCTGCGGCGGGCTCGTTGTACAATGTGTGAAACTTTTGTGAAACTTTGGCTCCTGCAGCGGGCTTCTCCATAGACTCGTAAGCTGTCGACGTCCCCGCCGCCCCCTCACTCTTGTCCGCATCTGCGGGGTGCTACGGTATATCTGCGCCCTCGCGCATACTTTCTCGGCCACCAGACCCCTCTCGTGGGGGGGTGGGTCGAAGTTCTGCAGCATCTTGTTTTTTCGCCGGGCTCGCATGAGCGTCTCGGAGGATTGGAGTGCTGGGTGGGTGGAGGGGGGTGGGTTGTGTGGGTTAGATGAGGATGGGGGAGGCGGAGAAGGAGGAGGAGGAGGAGGAGAAGGAGGAGGAGGAGGAGGAGGAGTAGGCGGATGGGAGGAGGAGGAGGAGGAGGAGGAGGAGAAGGAGGAGGAGGAGGAGGAAGAGGAGGAGGAGGAGGAGCAGAACAGGGAAAACGGGGCGGTCATGACGATGTGGAGGAGGAGGATGAAGAAGAAGAGAAGGAGGATGGGGATGGGGATGGGGATGGGGGTGGAGATCAGGATGGGGATGGTGGTGATGATGATGGTGATGATGATGATGATGCTGATGATGCTGACGATGCTGATGATGCTGATGATGCTGCTGATGATGATGATGATGATGGTGGTGGTGGTGATGATGATGGTGGTGGTGATGATGCTGCTGATGATGACGATGGTGGTGATGATGATGATGGTGGTGGTGGTGATGATGATGCTGATGCTGCTGATGATGACGGTGACGATGATGATGATGATGGTGGTGGTGATGATGATGATGATGGTGGTGATGATGCAGATGATGACGATGATGACGATGATGATGATGATGATGATGATGATGGTGGTGGTGGTGGTGGTGATGATGATGATGATGATGATGGTGATGATGATGATGATGATGATGATGATGATGATGATGATGATGATGATGATGATGAGGATGAGGATGATGATGACGAGGAGGAGGATGAGGAGGAGGAAGAGGAGGAACGGGAACAGGAACAGGAATAGGAACAGGAACATGAGGATGAGGAGGCGGAGGAGGAGGAGGAGGAACGGGAGCAGGAGAGAGGGCCAATCATCTTCCATAGTCTGCACACAAGCCTATGGCTGGTTAGGGATATGGAGGCGGACGGGGTCTATGATTTTGATTCACGACGGCGGCGACGACGACAACGACAAGGATGATGATACTGATGATGATGACGAGGAGGAGGAGGATGAGGAGGAGGAAGAGGAGGAGCAGGAACAGGAGGAGGAGGCGGAGGAGGAGGAGAGGGAGGAGGAGGATGAGGAGGAGGAGGAGGAACGGGAGCAGGAGAGAGGGCAAATAATGTTCCACAGTCTGCACGCAAGGCTATGGCTGGTTAGGGATATGGAGTCGGACTGGGCCTAAGAGATTTTGATTCACGACGACGACGACGGTGACGACGACAACGACAATGAGGATGATACTGATGATGCTGATGCTGATGATGATGCTGATGATGATGATGATGGTGGTGGTGGTGATGATGATGACGACGACGACTGTGATGATGCTGATGCTGATGCTGATGGTGACGATGATGATGACGATAATGCTACAGATGCTGCAGCTGACGACGATGCTGATGATGCTGATGATGATGCTGATGATGACGATGATGGTGGTGTGATGGTGATGATGATGAGGATGAGGATGATTAAGCTGCTGCTGCTGATGATGACGATGACGATGATGCTGGTGATGACGATGACGCTGATTATGTTGATGATGTTGATGACGATGCTGATGCTGCTGATTCGGATCATGATGTTGGTGATGATAACGATAACGATGCTGAGGATTTTCATGATGATGATGATGATGATGATGATGATGATGATGATGATGATGATGATGAGGGTGAGGATTAGGATGACGACGATGATGATGCTGATGATTATGATGATGATGCTGATGATGATTATGGTGGTTATGATGATGCTGATGCTGATCATGATCATGATGATGACGATGAGGAGGAGGATTCTGGGCGCTGCTGTTGATGATGGTGATGCTGATTATGATCATGACGATGGCCATGCTGATGACCATGCGTATGATGATGATGATGATGATGATGATGATGATGATGATGATGATGACGATGCTTATGATTATGATGCTGATGATGATGCTGATTATGATGGTGCTACGTATACTATGCGAAGCTGTTGCTGCTGTTGTTGATGCTGCTGCTGCTGATGATTATGATGCTGATGATGATGTTGACGATGACGATGATGCCGATGACGATGTCGATGATGATGATATGCTGCTGCTGCTTATGATCAGGACGATGATGATGATGAGGATGATGTTTATGATTCTGATCATGATGACGATGATGATGATGATGAGGATGAGGATGAGGATGATGATTATGATGATGGTGGTGGTGATGATGATGATGATGATGGTGGTAATGTTGATGATGATGATGATGATGATGATGATGATGATGGTGATGATGGTGATGATGATGATGATGATGATGATGATGATGATGATGATGATGATGATGACGGTGCTGCTGCTGCTGACGAGGTGATAATGATGACGATGATGGTGATGACGACGACGACGACGTCTGCGATGATGATGCTGATGATGATATTGATGATGATGATGATGATGATGCTGCTGATAATGATGATGCTGCTGATAGGCATGATTATGGTGATGGTGGCGATCACCATAGCGTCGCTCATAGTTTTTACACCATTTGCTAACAGGTGCATGTCCGTCGCATTTGGATCAAGCCATTTCAGCAAAGAATCTATCGAGCAGGCCTCCCGGCAGGCCGAGCACCTCGCCGTTCCCACGTTCTAAAACAGCTGCCGGCATCACCCGCTGAGCGAATTCCATAACATCGAGTCATGCCCGAGGCCCTTGAAGCGCATGCTTCTCCCAGACAGAGTGTCACGTCCGAGGCTCCAGCGCAGGCCCTTCTGTCGAGAAGGAGCAAGGGCAAGGGCAAGGGCAAAGGCGCCGGCAAGGGCAAGGGCAAGAGCAGCTACGGTTCCACTACGCAGCACGCTCCACGGCAGGCGTCCATGGCCTGCATGCACCAGCTGCGCTCGCTGGAGGTCGAGGAGCAGGCGAGTCTTGTTGGGGAGGTGTCCGCCGCTTTGGGGTTCGAGGTTGTCGGGAACAGGTACACTGTGTACGCACCTGGTAAAGTGAAGGTTTTCGTCGCGGCGGAGGAAACCGACCTATGCACAAGGCAGCTGAAGTCTTGTTTCCCAGACTGCGCACCCTGGCACTTGAGCATCGTGTATGCAAAAGATGGCAGGATCGAGAAGGCTTTTGATCTCGAGCGCGATTGGACCTGCACGTGCTGCTGTTTCAATCGTCCCAGGGTCGAGGTCAAGGATTCCTCAACGGGCCGCCTGATTGGCTCAATTACTGACCCGTGGGCGTGCTTCGACTTGACCTTCACCATTCGGGACGCACGCGACAACACGGTGCTGAAGGCAGCTGGTGACTGCTGCCAGTGTGGCCTCTGCTGTCCGCTGCCATGCGGTCCCTGCAGCGAGGTGAACTTCCCGATCGTCGAGGAGCGCGGAGGCCGTGAGGTTGGCCACATACAGAAGCAGGTCCCCTCTTGCTGCGCCTTTATGTTCGTGGAGGACATCGACAACTACAAGATCGACTTCGCTGGGATCAGCAACCCGGAGTGGAAGGCCTTGGTCATGGGTCTCTCCATTTTCATGGACTTCCGGTACTTCAGCAGCAGTTCTGCCGACGGCAATTGAACGCGGAGATCTGGAGCGGCGACCACGGTTGCCTCGGCAGCTATCATCTTCCTCCTTTCGCATCGCGCGCCCTCTCCTCCCCAACCTCGGTCCCCTTGCCCGGCATACCTAGTCCAGCAAACTTGACTCTGTGCATCTAGTTGCATGGACCTTTTCGGCGTGAGTGTCGAGGCGCAAGTGACTTCGAATCTAAACGAGCTTGAGTATACTGGGAGTGAGTCTAACTTTGAATGAGTTGGAGTATGAATGAGTCTCAACCGTACGAGTGGGTCCATGCGCATGAGCCCGGGGCCTCCTGGGGCCTCCTGGGGCTTCCTGTGCGCTCCTGAAACCTCTTGTGGCCTCCTGGGGCCTCTTGGGGGTTCCTGTAGCCTCCTGAGGCCTTCTGGGTCCTCGTGTGGCCTCCTGGGGCCTCCTGGAGCCTCCTGGGGCCTCCTCTGGGGGATTCGTGCCCCAGGAGGGGCCCAATCTATAGGAACATACGTAAAGCATTTAGAATTGGAGCCACAGGAGAGGGGACATCTCTAGGAACACGCGTACAAACACCAAGGATTCGTGCCCCAGGGGAGGCCCGAGGCACAATCTATAGAAACATACGTGAAACATTTAGGATTTGACACGCAGGAGAAGGACAAACGATAGAAACATACGTAAAGCACGAAGTATTAGTGCTCCAGGAGAGGCCCGATGTATAGGAGGAGCTACTTTTGTGGCCTTCTAGAAATCCTCCTGCTCCTGGTGCCTCTTTGGGCCTCCTGGGGCCTTCTGGGGCCCCCTGGTGCCTCCTGGCGCTTCCTGTGGCCCTCTGAGGTCTCCAGGGGCCTCCTGGGGACTCCTGGTGCTTCTTGGGGCCTCCTGGAGCCTCCTGGAGCCTCCTGAGGCCTCCTGGGGCTTCCTGGTGCCTCCTGGAGCCTCTTGGGGCCTCCTGTGGCCTCTTGGGTCCCTGTGGCCTCCTGAGGCCTCTTGAGGCTTCCTGAGGCCTCTTGGGGTTTCCTGGAGCCTGCTGGAGCCCACGAGTCTGGCCAGCAAAACAAGCAAGCTGTTCAAGACATCCCCGCGATCTGGGCCCCCAGGGGTGCGAAAGCAAGCGCCTCGCCCGAGACATCCTCAGCATCTGCTCCGAAAGCGGAGGATGTTGAGCATGCAAGCAGGCAAACCGCTCGAGACAACCCCGCAATCTGGGGGCGAACGGAGGAGTGTAATATCCCCTGGCGGCACGCCCTCGGGAGCGAAAACCAGCGCCTCGCCCGAGACATCCTCCGAATCTGCTCCGAAAGCGGATGATGTTGAGCATGCGCGCAGGCAAACCGGAGACATCCCCGCAATTTGAGCGCGAGCGGGCCCGTCTAATACCCCCTGGCGCCCTCCCCCCGGGGGAAGCTGAGGCCAGCACCTCGCCCGAGACATCCTCGTACATCCGAGTGCAGTCCAGTGTGAACTGAGAGCGAGCCTGGGGCTCCTGGCGCGAGCTCCGTTGCTCTGGTAGGGAGTACGTTAACCATGGAAATTCGTGAAACTCTTGGATATGTTGAGAAAGAACTGCGCGCGGCGCCTAGGCGAGAGCCGCATTTTGAAAAGGAACCGCTTTCAATCCGTGCGACTCATGCATTTTGTTTGGACGAGTGTGCGCGGCGCGACGGCGAGAGCTACATTTTGGAAACCGCCCGCCCTCAATCCCTGAAGATCTTGCTGCTTTTTTAGGATCAATCCTGAATCGTTCCGAAACACCATGTCTGGTACGCTGGCCATGGGAATCCGTAAAATTGCTGAAGTTGTTTAAGACGAATGTGCGCGGCGCTAAGGCGAGATCCACATTTTGAAAAGGAGTCGCCCTCAATCCGTTAAGCTTTTGCAAACTGTTAAGACGAATGTGCGCGGCGCGAAGGCGAGAGCAACATTTTGAAAACCGCTCGCCCTCAATCCGTGAAATTCTTGCACCTTTTAAACGAATGTGTGCGGCGCTAAGGCGAGAGCCACATCTTGAAAATTGCCCGCCCTCAATCCGTGAAACATGCTAGCGAATTTTCAAAACTAATGTGCGCGGCCCGAAGGCGAGAGCCACATATTGGAAACCGCCCGCCCTCAATCCGTCAAGCTCTTGCAACTTGTTACAACGAGTGTGCGCGGCGCTCAGGCGAGAGACACATTTTGAAAACCACAGGCCCTTAATCCGTGAAATTGCTACCAATGCTGAAGCCTCGGGGTCATAAGTGGTAAGTAAGTCTCAGAGACAACGCCCAGCCCGCCCTTTCGACTGGCCTCGGGGGGCGACAGGGAGGAGTTATTCACAAGGATAAGGAATAGAGGACCAGCGGCAGCGGCAGCAGGACCTCCCCAACCGTCCCTTCAGCGCCCGGGCTGGCATGCCGGGCGGCTACGCCCTCGCCGCCCTGGGTCAGCGGCCCGTGTTCTCAGAGGCCAGTGGGGTGGCCAACGAGCACCTGCCCCTGCTGCGGCAGGACCTCCAGGAAGCCTGTTTCTGCTTGTGCTTCTGATCCTACCCCTCCTTGTCCCCGTCGTCGGAGTCGTCGGGCTCCTCGTCCTCCTACCCCTCCTCCTGCTCTTCCTTCCTGCTTCTGCTTCTCCATGTTACCATCTCTCATTTTTGTACCCCTCGGGAACTTTGGTTTATCGTGCCGCTCCGTCTGCTCTGGCCCACCATGCTTCGGCGCGACAGGCTATCCACGTCCCCGCTCCCAGGGCCGCCGCCGCTACATGTTGAGCAACAGCTTCTTACCGTAGCCGTGCGGAGGTATGAACTCGCCACGCGTCTATCAGTGTTGGACAGCTGAAAATCAGAGTTCTCAAAGTCGTATGCTGAGCGATGAGCTTAAGCTAACCTGGATGGAAGGGATCTTCCTTTGCTGGAAAGGCAGGGGAAGTGGGTGGTTGTGGTGGACGATCAGTGTTACCATCTCCCTGTTGACGCGCAGTGTTTTTCTGCTCCTGCTCCCCGTTCCTGCTCCTCCCTCCCCTTGGCCTCCTTGTCTTCGTCGTCGTCGTACTCCTCCTCTTCCCTGTGCTGTTCGTGTGATTGATATGACGGTCCCCCAGAAACGGACACCACTGGCTCTCCCAGAAACGGACACCACTGGCCAATACTAAATAACTACACATCATGAGGCTCGTCATTAGATGCTCAGTGCAATGTTGGCAGCAATGTTAATGACAAGAGGAGACATAGCTGGTGAGGTGGCATGCGCGAGCACAGCGGAGGGGAACGTGAGATAAGGACACTCACGCCTCAGCGCCTGTCTTGATCGCGCAACATCCACCCATCGTTGCTGAATGGTTTCTCGCGCCCCGGGTGAAACCCGAAATGTTTGCCGTGATGCCGTGCCGTCACCACGGTGGACACAACATGCGAAGTGCATCATAACAAATGCCACTCTTGCGGGCGAGTTGCGCTGCAAATTTGTGCATTCGTAACCGCCTCACGCTGTCTGCCGCCATTCTGCTCCAGGAGCCGATGTCCTCGACGATGCGTACGCCTAGAGAGAGCTATGCACTCCTGCCATCACCGAATCAAGTTAATGTATCCTTTCCTTCCGTTCTTGCATCCCCGAGGAAACGCAATTGTACAGTTGACGGTCCACGTATCACGTCTAGCCCATCGAGAAACGACCCCTGGGCTACATCAGGAGAAGTAGAGGTTCCCTGAAAATGCCACTCGGTCGGGACTTGATCGACTGCTGGATGGGACTTGACGGAGCGGGTGGGACTTGATCCCACCATTTTTTATGGACGATCGAATACTACCCTCGTCAAAATTAACCTCAAAAATGGCGACCACGCCCCTGCGACGCTGGCGCGCCCTTCAATGTCGATAGACGCCCCTCCAATGTCGGGGCCAGGGCAAAAGTGGTCTGACCGGGAACGACTCGGAAGTGCAATGATGACATCATCATCATCATCATCATCATCATCATCATCATCATCATCATCATCATCATCATCATCATCATCATCATCATCATCATCATCATCAGCAGCAGCAGCAGCAGCAGCAGCAGCAGCAGCAGCATCATCATGGCCATAGCATCTTGACGGCGCTGATCATCATGCTACTGTCCGTCGTGATCATCACCGTCAGTTCGACGGTTGCCAACAACATATTTACCCGTGGTCGTGATTAAAACGTCCACGGTGGTCGCCAGCATCCAGACCATCTTGGACCAAATGCCTAATGCGCGAGCGCGTCAAACTGCCCCATCCACCCCGCGCGATGCCCGTCCGAAAAGTCAAGGAACTTTTTCCCGACGACCTCTTCTCGGACCGACGGGCAGGGCCCCGCGGCGGCGGACCCGCGGAAGCCGAAGCACACCCTCGCATTGCATTCAGTGGGAAAACGGGACGGCGACGTGACGGATGTCGGCGTTGGCGGACATGTCGATCGCGACGATTCCACATGCCACGGTGGCACCGGCCGTTCAAAGTCTCGCTAACGAGGCTGATGATGGCGACGAGCACGCTGACGTCAAGGATGTGACATTTAACTGCTGTTACAGATATTACGAAGGAGGAGGAGGAGAAAGAAGAGGAGGAGGAAGCGGAGGGACAAGGGAGGAGGCGGAGGACGAGGCGGGAGAGGAGGAGGAAGACGGCGAGGGGAGGAGGACGCCGACGACGACGACAGCAGTCAACCGTAAGGGCCTTTGCGGATATGCTCCCCTGGGAGCCTTTTGGAGGTCCCTTGGAGCCACCTTGAAGCCCTCTTGCTACCATTTCGGGAGCCTTCGGGCCCATCTTGGGGTCCTCCTGTGGGCCATGGGGCCTTTTGGAGGCTATGTCTTGGCGGACATCGGTCAAGAAGGGGTAGCGCGAGTTTTCACTGGCTTTCTGGAACATGAAAGAGCGTCGGGGAACCCAACCGACCTTGACATGTGAGCTGGGTCCCCTCCTTTGGGGACTTTAGCCTGTTGGCTGATGCATGTCCCAACTCATGTTGATTCCCGATTTCCTTCTTCGATCCCTTCCGAGATGATGATGAGGAGGAGGAGATGAGGAGGAGACAGAGGATGAGGAGGAGGGGGGCTGGAGACAGGAGGGAGGGATACAGAAGGGGGACAGAAAGAGGAGGATGCGAAAGAGGGAGGGGGATGAGGGGGAGGATCAGAGCAAAGATGTCAACGATGACAGCAAAGATGTCAACAAGACGGCCATCGGGAACCACTGCGGACGCTACGTGCGCCACGCGCGCCCGGTGCGCCAGGTGACCCGCCCAAACGTGAGAGGCGCGTCTGGTGTTAGGTCGGGCATGTCCCCCTACAGGCGGATTTTGGGCGAAAAAATTGTCAAACAATGCTCAACAGTAGTTTTGAACAAATAAATAAAAAGGAGTCGTCCCCAGAATTTTTCTTTGCGACTATTTTTGAATATTCCTCCTGTAGAGGGACACGCCCGTCCTAAGGCTGGTGCGCCAGGTGACCCGCGTGAGCCATGTTTGCCACGTGATCCGGCCGCGTCTGGGGCGCCGCGTGCGCGACGCGCGCAGAGTGCGCCAGGCGGCGACAGGCGCGCCATGGCACGCGGCAGCGCACGTCGGATCATATGTTGCCCCCCACACAGCCCCTTTTCAAAACCCAGTGCAGATCGAGAGGGTGACCAGCACCCCCACGTCGATGCGTCCGTCGACTTGAATCCAGCTTGAGCCAAACTTGAACGAAGCCTGAGACAAGCTAGAGCCGGACTAGAGTCGAGCTCGGGTTGAGCAGATCCGTGGGTTGGGACACTTAAGGAAGGGGCGGGCAGCCAACCTGCCGCAGCATGGTAAGTTTGTAGTGCGCGCGCCCGCAATCCGCTTGCATACGCTTTTGACGCGGGCAGCGGGCGAGCGCGCAGCGGACAAATACAGTCAAGACGCTGAAGTAAGGAACAGCTGGGGCGCGAAAGGGGCTAGATGCTCCTTAGGTCACTGTGTGGTTGTTCCTCTAGCGCTCCTCGTGACCGCTGGCGCTTTTGGAGCCAAAAGGGGGCTTCGTTCCTGCTTTACCTTCCTTACTTCAGCAGCCCGACTGTATTGACCCCGCCCCCGCCGTCCGCGTCGAAAAACGTTGCAACGTGATCGCGGGGAGCCCGCTGAGGATCCAGATCTTAGCGCCGCGTGCGCCGCGTCCGCTGCCCAAGCGGAGCACGGGGCTCGGAAGAGGAAGCGATCTAGACCACCTCTGCCCGGAGGGCTGGTGGGGTTCGGACCCTCCCGGTCGGGCCCCGCCGCTCTGCACGCAGAATGTGTGCGGGGACCACCTCTGGCTTGGAAGGTGTTGCAGTGGAGACCCATGCCAAGACACACCCCGCTTGCTTCCAGGGTGCCCTGGGTTTCGAGGGTTTTTCGATGGAAGGCGTGACGTTCCCACACCGGAAATCAATGGACGTCCTGGGGTCTCAGGGTTGGGTTTCCTGCGGAAGGTTTCTTGTGGACTTGACTCCACTGTATTCTTCTGTATTCTTCGGCGTCTAGACAGCTTCGGCCAACATCGGACAGCTCGTGTGGCCTCGGACAAACGGTCGATACCCACTGACAGCCTGTAGTGCGGCGCGGGCTGGCGGGCCGTGCGGGCAGGGAAGGCCCTCCGGCACGTGACACGACATCTTCTCCGCTCTTCCTCGCGCTTGGCATCGCTCGGACATTTCTTTTTTTTGTCGTTGATTTTTTTTTGTTTTGTTGTTTTTTGTATCCATCGAGGAGCATTTTGGGTCATGTTGCCAGAAAAGACACGCACGAAGCCGAAACGTGCACGGGGAATCGACGTCCGAGCGATGGCGAGTTCGGCATTTTTGGTATCGCTGCCAGTGCAGCCCGCTGATCCGAGGACCGCCCCAGGGGCAGGATGCTACGGGAGGTCAGGCGCCTTCTCTTCGATCGCAGCGGGCCGCAGTCATTATCATCGCATATCTCAGACGTCGCTCAAGACCAAGACTGAATGACACAGAGCTCTCGAAGCAGACATTCGATCCACCCCAGGACCAGATTCTCCCAGTCGTGTCGAGGCCTCTTTCACTCTCCGACCCTGCGTTGCATTAGATGGTTGCCCGTTCTTGTTCTTGCGCAGTGACTGCTACTACTAATATTCAGCCTCAGTGCGCGATGTTTTTGCAGGTGAGTGCGATCGTTGGTGCTTACGCTCACGACAAGTGCACCACGACATCAGTTTCAGTAGCATTATGGCCGCCATAGTTGTTACTACCGCCGTGGTTGGTTATCGTGATCCCCAGGATGTGGTTGGTGTAGGACATTCGCTGTGCATTTGTACATCATATATATATATATACACGCACAATTCGGTCAGCCAGCGTGGACCCCAAACAGTGGATCTCTATAGGCTGTGCAATCGATGTGGAACAATGCATGTGGTGCATTATCTGTGGTGCAAGGTGCAAACTATGTGGTGCACGCTATGCGGTGCAGCATCGGTTGTGCTGTAGATGTTGCGCGATCTAGGTAGTGCAATCGATGCGGTGCAAACCATGTTGTACAATCTATGTGTTGCGATATAGATGGTGCAGTCTAGGTGGTGTAATCGATGTGGCGCAATGTCTGTAGTGCAATGCATGTGGTGCAATCTTTGCGTTGCGACACATGTGGTGCAATCTACGTTCTGCGAACGATGGTGCAATGTATGCGGTGCGATTTATGTTTTGCAATACATGTGTTGCGATCAATGTCGTGCAATCAATGTGGTGCAATGAGTGTCAGTTCGCAGTGAGTTGTTAACTCCACTGCTCGCGCAGCCATCCCACCCACCCGCCCACCCGCAACTTGGTTTGCGTAAGCACATGCGGCGGCGATTGCGATGAGTGCTTGGTGTTGGCTGGTGCATCTCTGCGGCCGCGCTAGCCCGCGCATGTTCGCGCGCGCAACGGCCAGCTAGTTTGGCGCGGCCGACGCGGCTGCGGTGGCGCTGACCGCTGGGCTCCTCCCAGCGGGCACTTCAGTGCGAGTCGGCGACTTGGGCGGGCGCGGTACCATGGCAACGTTGACCACGGTAGGCACGAGGAGTCTAGTAGCGATGCTGGTGACGACGATGACAATGACGACGGCAAGGCCAGTGACGGCGCCGATGCTGATCACGCCGGCGACGATGACGGCGTTTTCGCGTCAGTGATGAATGTTTTGGAACGATTTCGACTCGCGCGCGCGGCCGACGCGCGAGAGTTGCGTGAATGGTGTTATGTGACACGGACCCCCCCCCGCCAGCACGCGCGGAAAGACCGTCGACTGATTTCGACATGCGGCGCCAAAGGCCCGCCTGGCATAATGTAGTGCAAATATGAACAGCTGGTGGTTTCCTTAAGGATTCGCAATAACCCGCGCGCGCTTTTTTTGTGGGGGAACTGGCGTTGCAGAGCCATGTGGTTTTTTTTGCACGTTTTCGGGGCACTCGATTTTGAAATTCTGGTGGAACCTAAGGTTTGCAAATATTTCGGCGTGCGCGCGCGACGACGCGCGCGCGTGCACTTCGTCCCGCTTTTTGCAAGGGATTCTTGCGACAGTACTCGCGCAGGGGCGTTCGAACGAGTTCGACATGCGCGCGCGAGAGGCCCGTCTGGTAGGATTTTACGAATATGTTGAGCTGTGTGGGGTTTACAGAAGAATTCGCAAGAGCGCGGGCGCATTTTTTGAACATGCGCGTTGCAAAACCATGCGTCTTTTACTCTGGATTTTGACCCTCCTGCGGCACCAAGGGTTTTTGAAGGATTTTGGCATGCGCGCGAGGCGACGCGCGCGTGTGCGCTTCGTGGTTTTTGTTCGCAAGGGTTTTTTCGAGAACAGAGGACTTATGGTATTCGAGTGCGCGCGCATAGAATCATATGTACATTGCAATGCGAAAAAGGGGAGTCGTTAATTCAGCGGGGGGGGAGGGGCAGATCAGATTTTTTAATTTTAGAAAGGGCAGTTGACTCTGCCGAACTTGAAGTTGTCACCATCACTGCTCGCGCAATCATTCCCCCCCCATCCACCTGGTAAGTTGGTTTGCGAAACCAATGTGGCAGCGATTGCGATAATTGCTTGATGGTGGGTGGCGCATCGCTGCGGCCGCGCTAGCGCGCGCAGGCTCGCGCGCAGAGCGGCCAGCTAGTGTGGCGCGACCGAAGCGGCCGCGGTGGCGCTGGCCGCGGGGGACCCTTCAGCGCGTCTCGCAAACCGCTCTGACGCGCGGACACTAAAGTGCGAGTCGGTGACTCGTGCGGGCGCTGTCTCGTGGCGACGTCGACAACGGCACACGCGATGATGATAGTAGCGATGCTGGTGACGACGATGACGATGACGACGGCAAGACCGATGACGGCACCGATGTTGATCACGCCGATAACGTTTGTGGTGTCCACGTGTCGGTGATGGAAGTTGTAGACGGATTTCGACATGCGCGGGCGGCCGACGGGCGCGAGTGGCCCGCGTGGTGTTGTTTGACAGGATTCGTGCCCCAGCACGCAAGGGCGCTCGAATGATTACGACATAGCGCACTAGAGGTCCGCGCGGTCGAATTTAATGAACATGCCGAGAAACTGATGTATTTGTTGTCGCCAAAAATTTCGAAAGAGCGTGCGCGCAGACTGTTTGAACAACCGCGTTGCAAAACCAACTGTTCCCGACCATCCTGTGGTGTTGGGTTCTCGTTTTGAAAAAACAGCGCCCCGCGTTCACTCCCGCTGCAACCTCCCAGCGCCCGCATGCGGTTCCACCCCCATTTCGGCACGCTCCTCACACGTTTCGTGGCCCCATAGGGAGCTCCACCGAAGGCCCCAACGGCAGCGCCCGCATGCGGTTCCACCCCCATGTCGGCACGCCCGTCACATGTTTCGTGGCCCCACAGGGAGCTCCACCGAAGGCCTCAGCGGCAGCGCCCGCATGCGGTTCCACCCCCTTTTCGGCACATCCTCACACGTTTCGTGGCCCCATCGGGAGTTCCACCGAAGGCCCCAACGGCAGCGTCGGCATGCGGTTCCACCCCCACTTCGGCACACCCGTCACATGCTTCGTGGCCCCATCGGGAGCTCCACCGAAGGCCCCAGCGGCAGCGCCCGCATGCGGTTCCACCCTCATTTCGGCACACCACTCACACGTTTCGTGGCCCCACATGGAGCTCCACCGAAGGCCCCAGCGGCAGTGCCCGCATTCGGTTCCACCCTCATGTCGGCACACACCTCACGCGTTTCGTGGCCCCGTAGGGAACCCCACCGAAGGCCCAGCGGCCCAGCAGCAGCGCCCGCATGCGGTTCCACCCCCACTTCGGTACACCCCTCACACGTGTCGTGGCCCCTATAGGGAGCTCCACCGAAGGCCTCAGCGGCAGCGCCCGCATGCGGCTCCACCCCCATTTCGGAAGCCCGTCGCACGTTTCGTGGCCCCATAGGTAGCCCCACCTAAGGCACCAGCGGCAGCGCCCGTAGGCGGGTCCACCCCCAAATCGGCACACCCCTCACACGTTTCGTGGCCTCATAGGGAGTTCCACCGAAGGCCTCAGCGGCAGCGCCCGCATGCGGTTCCACCCCCATTTCGGCACGCTCCTCACACGTTTCGTGGCCCCACAGGGAGCTCCACCGAAGGCCCCAGCGGCAGCGCCCGCATGCAGTTCCACCACCATTTCGGCACACCACTCACACGTTTCGTGGCCCCATAGGGAGCTCCACCGAAAGCCCCAGCGGCAGCGCCCGCATGCGGTTCCACCCCCCATTTCGTCACACACCTCACACGTTTCGTGACCCCAAAGGGAGCTCCACCATAGGCCCCAACGGCAGCGTTCGCATGCGGTTCCACCCCCATTTCAGCACACCCGTCACACGCTTCGTGGCCCCATAGGGAGCTCCAACGAAGGCCCCAGTGGCTGCGCCCGCATGCGGTTCCACCCCCATGTCGGCACACCCTTCACTCGTTACGTGGCCCCGTAGGGAGCTCCACCGAAGGCCCCAGTGGCTGCGTTCGCATGCGGTTCCACCCCCATGTCGGCACACCCCTCACACGTTTCGTGGCCCCACAAGGAGCTCCACCGAAGGCCTCAGTGGCTGCGTTCGCAGCGGTTCCACCCCAATTTGGGCACACATCCCACACGCTTCGTGGCCCCATACGGGGCTCCACCGAAGGCCCGGATGGCTGCGTTCGCATGCGGTTCCACCCCCATGTTTGTGGCCACCCCCACGTCTGTGCACCCCTCAGACGCTTCGTGGCCCCGTGGGGAGCTCCACCGAAGGCCCCAGCGGCAGCGCCCGCATGCAGTTCCACCCCCACTTCAGTGTGCCCCTCACACGTTGCGTGACATAGGGAGCTACACCGAAGGCCCCAATGGCAGCGCCCGCATGCAGTTCCACCCTGAATTTCGGTGTGCCCCTCACACGTTTCGTGGTCCCATGGGGAGCTCCACCGGGGACCCCAGTGGCAGCGCCCGCATGCAGTTCCACCCTCCATTTCGGCGAATCCATCGCACGCTTCGTGGCCCCGTAGGGAGCTCCACCGAAGGCCTCAGCGGCAGCGCCCGTATGCGATTCCACCGAACCCCTCACACGTTTCGTGGCCTCATAGGGAGTTCCACCGAAGGCCACGGTGGCAGCGCTACATTTTGGTACACTCTTCACGCGCTCCGTGGCCCTATAAGAAGATCCACCGACGGCAATATTCACAACGACGGCACCCACAACTGCATATGGTTGGGACCTTCGCCAGGCTAATGTTTGTGTACCCTTCCGAGAGCATCGATCTTGAAATCCGTATGAGGACTGCGATTTTTGAGCGTTTTCGGCATGCGCACGCGACGCCGCGCGCGTGCGGACTTCGTCTTCGTTTGTTTTGCAAAGTGGGTTATTGCAACTTGATGATTCTTGAAAAAACGAGTGCGCGCTCATAATT